AAATTCTTTATTGTGAATAATCATTCCTTAAATTATAGACTCAAACAGTACTTAAATGTTTTCTTATAGGGCCTAAAAGATAAGATTTAGAATCACATAGAGCTTGAGCATCTACAAGTTTCAATACCCATATATATATTTTACTTCTCGTTTATATATTCCACTATCAATATTTTTGCTTTGAAAGAATATATAAATATACTTAATATAGCTTAAATAATTCTTTATTATTATTCATATATTCAAAAATTTACATATATGACTATTTTTTCTTGAGACCACCGAAGAATTTCTACCTTTTAGAGAAGACTTTTTACATTATTCAAATATAGATCTAAACTACTACTACTACTCTTCTCACTTTTCTTCATCTTTCCAATAATAAAATGTCAAAATTTATAATTATAACAATTGTAAACTCGTTAAAAAAAAAAAAAAAAGAGTTATTTTCATGGAAATATTATTCACTTCACTTAAAAATCTTTTCGAAAATCCGGGCTTGAACGTAATCCGTATCCAAGTACTTACATATTCAATATCGTGACTTTTAACGTAGTCGATTTTTTCTGGTGACGTAGAGGTAGATTCTTCTTCCGCAGTATATAAAGATTCTTCTTATTTTGTACTTTTTAGGTTTTTACATTTACTATTCTATGTTTTTTTTTTTTTACTCGTAAAATACTCCAATTTTACGTTCTTGTCACTAAACAGAAGGGCGAAATATGTATTTCTTTCAAAATGTTGACAATGGTTGTAGACTGGGGTGACGTTTTTACGTGACATTTATTGTCGAGGGTATATCCTTTTTTTTCGATTAATATTCTTTACAATTGAAAAATGACAAATTTTTTAAAAAGTCTATCGAATAAATGACATATTTTTTTTTTCTTTTCGTCAATTTTCTCTATTACAGATTACTTAATCTAGAACAAAAGAATTTTTGGTCAAACTTACACCAAATTCCAATAGAATTCAATAGGCTATTTTGTTACGATCGAAGTAAATGGTTCCTTAATAAAATTACGAAAAATTTTTGTAGGGATATTAAATTTCTCTTTGATAAGATACCCAATTGCTTCCATCGCATACTTTAGTGCTTAAATATTAAATAAAAATATTTAAAAAAAACTCGAAAATACATATTATTTGAATTATTTTTTTAGTTTATAACTTGAATATAAAAAACACACAGTTTTTGAGATTTTCCCTGGGATGGTATCTTCGTTCATATATCTGTTATGTGAATAAAGATCTTATCTTCATCTTAGAGTTTATATACATCAGTTGAACTTGAAAGATCTCTAGTTTACGTCTAGTTGTGATAGTATAAATACTCTTAACATTATCTATTAAATCTACGAAAGTAATTTTTAGTTTACTTCTTTACTTAGAATGTTTTTAGTTTGTTTTCCAAGTGGTCAATTTTATATCAGAAGAATACTTTTATACACTACTATTAAATATCTTATTTCAGCTTAATTATAAATTTCAAGCATTAGAATGCAGTATTAATCGCTTTATAACCTTTTAAATCTCGGTATAAAGACAGAGTGGCTATCAAGAGCTTGTATGGGGTCCCGAAAAATGACTACAGAGACCCTCTAAGAGAGAAAATGAGTCCGCTCTATCTCGGGCCCCATTTGCCTCTTAGAATGTCTCTGTAGTCATTTTAAAGAAATGAATACGTAGAAGGCTTCTTTATTAATAAAAGTCTTAACGATTTTATTTTCTCTATGTAAAAATAACATTAATTTTACAGGGGTAAGGTCCCTAAGTTTTGCCAGGGAAAAATCTACGTTACTTCTATCTTCCGGTAAAATGATTTTTATACAAGTCGACCCCTCTATAACACTGTTGATAATTCCGTTTTATATGAATTTCATGTTGTCCGAATCACTTAGATTTTACAAATACGTGAGCCGTCCACAGCCCGGCACACATATTTGTAAAATCTAAGTGACTCGTACAACATGGAATTCATATAAAACGGAATTATCAACAGTGTTATAGGAGGGTCGATTGTACACTGTATTTAAAGAAAAAAAAATAAGTTTTTAGTGTTTTATATTAAAAAAAATTATATTAAATTATAACAGAAACGTGAACTGAGTGTATCATTACTGAAAATATAATAATTAAAATGATTATATCTAAAAAGATTTGTAAAGATCACGTTGCTTAAAGCAAGTAGAGTGATAATATTCTCGTTTATTTGCATTGAATAAGAAATTGAAAAAGTTAAAGAACTTAGCCTCTAAATTGCTATTAATCAGGCTTTTTTTTTTTTAAAAAAAAAGGCAGTGTTAAACTACAACTTCCGCATCCCTAACAACTTTCCGTGTTATATTTGCATAAGCGCTGTATGAATATTAAAAAAAAAAGCTAAGTGTACTATTACGAACTACAATGGTTTTGCGCGTGGGTTTACATATCCCCGTAGTGGAAAACCCACAAATTCATTTATTAATCGGATCATTAATGACTATATAACTTACAGATCAAACGGCTCCTACCGGCGAAATGTAGAAGCTGTAGTCAACAGTGGAGGGCGGTGTCGAGAACGGGTGCCAAACGGGTGTGACTCTAATGACAGCGCTCCACCCAGTTGTCACGAAAGACGATTCGATGAACGCTCGACGACTTTATTCAACCGAAAATTGATCGTATTAAAAATTATTTTATCTATTTAATTATTTCTCTATCGGAAGGATTGATCCGATTAACTGTTTGAACAATTGTAATCCAAGAAAATTCGGTCTACACTGAAATCGAAATCTGTAACGAAATTCAACGATAAAATGACGTAAAGAGGAAGGAATTAATGAATTATCTCCTCTTTAATTCACTAAAATATTCATTTTTCCGGTAGCTACTTAACAAAAGACTTTAACTAAACCCCTCATTGAGACTACAATTGTGTAAAATTTCTAACGAATTTTTAAATTCAATTCTAATATATTTCAATTACAGAAACGTTTATAAAATTTATATATANTATTTTTTTTTTTGTTATAAATTCCTTATTTATTCTGGGAAAAGTTTACAATGAAGGCTCTGTTAGACTGTTGTCATCGAGAGATATTTTTCCTTTTTATTTAGGAAAAAAGAAAGTTTAAAATATGACGACCACCCTTCGTTACAAATCAGATAAATGACTCGTCTATCGTGACGGGGTGTCGAGATTGGACGACCTTTAAACGCGTGGTTGAAGAAAGATATATCCCTTTCGCGTTAAAACTCTATATAAAGTGAAGTTGTAAGCGTTTGGAGGAAGTACAGTACAGACCGGAATGCCACGTTTTGTTTTTTTTTCTTTTCTTTTATCGACGTTCTGTACGTTGTGACAAGATATTTATGAGCGTTTGATAACAATGAATAAGATTTAACAGTTCCATACTTAGCAATTAAGATTCCATCAAGTATTTATTAGGCTCATTTAAAAATATTTGGCATTAAACTTGGCGTGGATTATTAGTTCTAACTGTTGAAGAATAATTTCATTCCTAGCTTTAAATGTTGGAAAAGGAAATAACAATTTATACGATATATGGAAATAATTCGTCATTTTACACATACACTTTTTAAAAATTAAGCTTAATTGTAATCTTATCAAAACACTTCCTCGAAATCGGAGACAAACAACTGCTTGTTAACATCGTATTACATTCTCTATCTAACTAAATGAAGAATATGTTAATTTAATAACCTTACATTAAAAAAAATATATATATATATACGGTCGTGCACTAAACACGAACTCTTCTTTATTTATATTCTAATAATTTATAGAGCATTTGCTTGTTTTAAGGATCGACCATCTTCCGCGATGCCTCTATAAGCTTATATATATATATACTTTCTTTTTTTTCTTACTTAAAATTATTTAAAAAAACTTGAAAGAACTGTTCACAAAAATCGTTTACTACTTAAGCGATTTTTGATAATTTTTTTATATATATATATTTTTTTCGACGTATCAGTATAATCGAATTCCTGAATATTTTTTAAAAAAATACAAAGTACGGTATCTGTTTTCGATTCTGGAATGTCGAAAGACTATCTTTAAGTTCTACTTTATAAAAAAAAATTAGAAAAATAGGGTATTTTTTTTTATTACTCTTTACACACACATACACACACTCCTACTCACTCGACGTGATCGAAACTGGTGGACGTTGCACCCTTCATCAGATATATTTACAACGCTACAGATAAACTAAAATGTTACTATTACACTAGACATTTGGCTAATTTTAAAACCGATTCAAATTTTAAAAAATATACGATAATAATCTATCAGTAAAGAATATATATATATGGCGAAGGAGGAAGCCATTTGTACGAGTGTATTCTTTCCATTTAAAAAAAAAAAGAGGAAGAAAATAAATTAATTTTTGATCGTCCGGGTAACGGTGATGTCTATAAAAAATTAAAATAATTCGAAGTGTTCCAACGGACGTGTGCTCGATTACGTCACGCACACGCTGTATACGTGTACAAACCAGGCCAAGGTCAACCAATGTACGAATGGGTGATAGGTGGCACCGTTATAAAAATCGTAATGAATTTTTAGTATAGTTCTCGAAATGTATAAATATATATATATATATATACATATTTTCGTGTTAGAAATAAAGGTTTAAATAATAATTTTTACCTGATATTAAGCAGAAACTATTTTCGGACTAGCGATTTTCTTACGTATGGATAAAAGACTAAATTCAATTAGGAACGATTTCGGTTATTTTTACCTACCGCTACAACGTTGTAACTGTAGAAACCTACGCCAAACAATATATCAAAAATGTTTTGATGCGTAAATATTTTATTATTCGTAATCCACTTAACATTGTTTATTAAATGTTTGACATTTTAAATATTGGTTCTGTATACAAAACTATTTTGATAATTACTCTTTTCTGAATTTAATATTCTATGGAAGAGTTGATTTTTTTAATGGTAAATTTTTAAAAGAATATTTTTTAATTATTTTTTTTTAGATGGGCCGAAGCCAACATGACCACGACGAGAGAGGTGACTCCATTATCCTGGTCTTATTCTACATACTCTCCCCATACTAGAATCCCAACGTGTGCGGCATCTACACCTAAGAAGAACTGTTATTTGACCAAAGGGAAATTATTTGCAGCTTTTTTTATATTGTTTTTTACGTCGTTTTTGATCGCGTTAAGGATCGTTTATGCAGGATATTTCCCTAACGCGCCAATAATATGTGTCACCTCTTATAACCAGGCTTCAGACATACCTTCAGATTCGAGAGATCACGTCAGATTTCCTAGAACCAAAAGAAGATTGCCACAATGCATCATCATAGGCGTGAGAAAAGGTGGCACGCGAGCCTTGTTAGAGTTTCTGAATATACACCCGGCTATACAGAAAGCCACAGATGAAGTCCATTTTTTCGACGACGATTCCAAATATCAATTGGGTCTGGAATGGTATAGAAGAAAAATGCCTTATTCATTCCCGGATCAAATAACTCTAGAAAAGAGTCCCGCTTATTTTATCACGGAGAGTGTACCATGGCGCATACATTCCATGAATGAAACCATTAAACTACTGTTGATAGTTCGAGATCCGGTTACAAGACTAATTTCGGATTATGCTCAATTAGCGGCCAATAAGGCGAGAAGAGATAGAAGCATCGCATCTTTTGAAGATTTGGTTATCCAGTCCGATGGGAGTATCAATACCAGCTATAAAGCAGTTCGTATCAGCATGTACTCTATCTATTTTAGAAGATGGTTAGAATTGTTTTCTAGGAATCAGATTCACGTAGTGGATGGCGACCTCCTCATTAAAGATCCTTATCTCGAAATGAGGAAGATAGAAGAATTTTTAGGTATAAATCATAGAATAACCAGGGATCATTTTGTTTTTAATAAAACAAAAGGTTTTTATTGTGTCAGAAATGAAACTGCTGATAAATGTTTAAACGACAGCAAAGGAAGAAAGCATCCTGAAATTTCTAATGAGATCATTCATAAGTTAAGACGATTTTATGCTCCTTATAATCACGACTTTTATAGAACTTCTGGTACGCAATTTAATTGGCCTGAAAAGTGATTGTAAGCTCTTTAATTTTACAAATTCCCTCACGAAAGATTTTAAAATGTTATTTTACAGTGCAATATGATCATTTCGCTCCTAAAATCCAAGCAATTTAATTTCAATTGCATAACTACATCTAAATTTATATAATCGATCCTAAATTAACATGATTTTGGTAAAAAAAAAAATTCAATGGATTTACAATAATTCCATGAGTGGTGTCCATTAGGGTGAGATATACAATGATTTTAGTCGCGGTATTTTAGCATTTTCTATTTAAGCATTGTTTTGTTTTCTACATAATTGCGGAATATTTGCATTGCTACTTAGAAAATTCATTATAAACTAAAGTATTGGACATCTCGCCTGTCAGGACATTACACTCAGATTTCCTATTTTTGCCAAACTTAACTAAGAAGTTCCGAAAAAAAAAAAAAAATAATAACAATAATAAATTAAAGAGGCGACGAATAGTCTAACATTAGAATAATATGTAATCTAGCAGCTTATGTTGTGTTAATATTTGTCTTTATAAGATTTTATGTATATTTTTAGATGTTTCTTCCATATTGGAAAGATTATAATAATGTACAGTATAAGCAGTTTGTTTCACACTGCAATAGATTATATTACGCTGCTGGTTTGTGTTAAAATTTACAGAGGAAAAAAAAAAAAAAAAAAAATGGAATTTAGCCCATCGAATATTTCATAAATAAAATTAAATATTCTACAAAAAAAAAAGACATGAATAATTAATTATTTTAAATCTAAATTCATAAAATTCAGAAAATTATTAATATATTTCATGCATTGTTTTTGTATATGTACAATATATATATATATGTAATTAAATTCATCTCTGCAATTATATAATAATTTTTTTTTATTTTGTCCGTGTTAAAAATTGCTAAATCTTTTATTTTCGTTAAATTTTAAAGTTATATTCTACATTATATAATATTTATACCAATGCAGAGAGTGTAGAATTGAGAGTTCTTTTGCACAGTTCTGTCCTTCACTATGTCGCAGGCTACATTCAGGTCTAATTGGCCAAAAAAAAAAAAAAAAAAAAGNAATCTATATAAACAATTTGTCATATATTTACAAAATCGGAAAAAAAATTCCAGATAAAAAGCCCTTAAAAAAATCTTTCTCGATGACTTTTAAGTGTTAAAATCAATGTAAAAACTTGTATTAAAAATTGTAAAAAAAATAAATAAATAAAAAATTGTAAAGAATTGTAATTACAAAATTAAATTTTAAATAAAAGCATGAAAGTTATTTATTAGTCGGTTCCTTAACTGTTAAGGAATTTAGTTGACTTTTTTTTATATATATATTATATTATATTATATATTTTTATACTCAAAACAAGAAAGAAAAAAAAATTAACTGTCGGAAGTTTCTTGAATTTTTTAAATCCTAATCATCTGATGTACACGAATTTAAATGGTACCGATAATATATATTTTTTGTCAGTTTATGTATCAAATTTCATCGAAATCTCTCTAGTTATTGCGAAATGAAACTACTTAGTGACCTTAGGAATGATATAGAGCCTTTATACTTAGTCTAATTATATATATGACATGGTTACAAAAATGATAATTTATTTGACTAAAATGATACAAAATATAACCTAATTCGATAAGATTTTTAGTAAATAAATTTTTATATAAAAATTATCTTCTGTATTAATAAATTAAAAAAAAAATGAAGTTATTCTCATTTATAATATAGGATAGACGAAGAAATATTCTATGTCGTCAGAATTTTAAATTAATTTATTAAAATGGCTAACGAATGAAATTATCTCTTATCAATTTTTTAAGTTGAAATTTAGTATCCAATCCTCTAAAACGAAATACTTTTTAAATAATTTATTTACTTTCATGCAATTGAAAACATATTTCGGAAGAAACTTTTGAAAGAATTAGGAAAGCAATTTCGGATTTATGAGAATTTTTGAGTTAGATATTTTAAATTTTCATTTAAAGTAAGTAAATTTATTTATTTATTTATTTTCTTTTAAATAATTCTAAATGTAATTCTAAATTTAATCAAATAATAAAATTATTACATAATATTTGATAATCAAGAAGATACTTATTGTTGTTACAAGCAAGGTTTATAAACAACATAAGGTCTAGACACGATACCGTAATACATTGCGGCAGTCGCCATTTTGGATCCTCTTGAGGTTATGTGTACCGTGTTTCTATAGCGAAGCTGATTGTTTCTTTCGATTTCAATTAGTTGGATTTCTTGTTGATAAATGGAAACTAACTGAGAATTCGAGGCTGTGTGAAGTTAATAAGGAAAAAACCCACTAAGAGAAAGAGAATTAACTCCAAATAAGTGCAGCTTGGTTTAACAAATGTTTTTAGGACATTAAACATTGTTTTTTTTCAAATTAAAAAATATATAAGACTACAGAAAATTATTTTCTTCTTCTAGTTGATGTTTTCTTTTATCAAGAACAACAGCCATACAAGATTGCTCTAATATATTCGATAAGAAAACTTCAACTGAAATTTAGTGCATATTTTATAATTATTATTTCTTTTATAAATTCATATTTTGATTCAAATAATGCTATTTCCTGTATATACTGTCATTCAGTGTGAACATGTATTTTCTGAAGTAACAGTTTTAGTGAAATTAGAAAATACAGTATCGTGCTACTAACTGAGATTTCTTTTAAATATTTTATATTGTCTACTGTTTAATAAATTTTTTAAATATACTTATTAAATTCTCTATAAAACTAAATAAATTTACCTTCTATTATACGAACCATTGACATAGATTTTTATTTTGAAACCTATTTAGTTAAAACCTTTACTTATGATCTTGGAACTGTTGATCCAAAATGGCGGCTCCATAAGGAACATTGGTGTCCTGACCTTATGTTTATAGATCTCGGTTACAATTGGCGCTGTTATCGAAATAAAAATGGCGTAAATTGATTTTGTTTTTTTTTTTTTAATTTGTATTGCTGTTAACATTTTTATTTAACGAATTATAACGACAATTTATTAAAATAAAAGAAAGTGGTATTCAATTAAAAATAAATACAAGTTGTTGAAAAATTACAAAATATATAAATGGAATACTTTATACAATTGCAAACTTAAAAGATAAAGAATATTCGTTTTTCTCTAAAGAGGAAAATACCGAAGTTTTCTTTTCATTGCTTCCATATAGAAATACATTATTCATTGTATACATTACAATATACGTATACATGCTACTTGTATACAATGCAAACAATATATTCTTATACAAATAAATAATATATAGTTCATTTGTATATAAACATTTCAAATGCTAGCAGATTTATAATGAATAATCATTATTTAATGATGATTTGTTCTGAATTATGTATAGAACTATCATTAAAGATGTAAATTGTTCTTGCGCAAATATATACAACTGATAAACTTCAAACCCTGGGTTATTTATAGCAATTTCTTTATAAAATATTTCTATATATACAACTCAAGATTTCAAATTTATTAATTTTACTCTATATATTTCCACAATATACATTTTGCAATACATTTTGCAATACATTAACCATTAACAATACATCTGTTATTCATTTCTATAAAAAAAATTTTAATTTAATATTTAAAATTATATTATAAATGAATAATCATTTATAACATAGCATAATGTAGAATATGCAGGAATAATCATTATCTTACTAAAACAAGTAGGAAATGTAATAAATAGCAACATTTTTAATACTGTAACTAATACAATTTAATTTTATTGATCTTCAACTGAATACCCTTTGTATTGAAAATTCAATAATAATTAAAATGTTATTTAATATTTTATAGTTATTCAAATGGGAAATACATATGTTTCTTAATTTATAAATGCTGATATCATTAATTAAACCTAATTTATATTTGTTTTATATAAGTATATAGTTTGATATATTCTCTTTCACTTCATATTTTATTTATCAGATAAAATGTGATAAATCATATTTTATTTGATAAATAAAATATGATTTATTTATTTTATTCTCTTGATGCTCATATTTTATTTTATCAAATAAAATATGATAAATCATAAACTGCTGAATTTGCACTATTCCACACAGAATTTTATTCATTTTCTGTAAATAACATTTGTATATTTGATAATTTTCAAAAGAAGAATGAACATAAATTTAACAAACAGAAAAATATTTAAAATTTATTGTTATTTTAATTTTAGCAGTTAAAAAAATTAATGAAAATACATAAATAATTATAATTAATGTCAAATTTCCAGTTGAAAATTCAGGAATTATAATTTGCCTGATTTAACATTACAAAAGACACCAGATCCAAAAGTTTATTTTTCTTAACAATTAAAGAAAATTATTTTTCTTAACAATTAAATTAATGTGCATAAATCAAATTTTAAAATTACTGTTTAACACTTAATAATTGAATATGCTTAAAGTTAAAAAAATATATACAGTATATATATTTTAAAAGTTTATTCTTTTATTTATAAATAACAGCAAATAAATAATCATGTATTATTTATTAACACTAACAAATTAGAATAATAAACTACTTTTAGTTTACCTTTTGATTTTACAAAAAGGAATAATGTTTATGAATTCCAAAAATATTTAGGAATTCTTGAAAGATTGTTTTTTAGTTAATGGAATTTTAATATTATGACAGATAGTACAACATTATTTTTATTGTTATTTATATAAAAATTTTATTCTATTAAAATATAGTATAAAAATACCATTCAACACTTGTGGCTTACAAAATAAAATTTTATATCTCTATATCTTTGGATCGATTTTGTATTCGAAATTCTACAAAGATTTGCAAAAAATTTTAACATTAATACGAGTATTATAATTTGAAATTGTGGCTTTTGTTTTACAAATATAAATTATTATGGTATTCATTTAAATTACTGTTAATCACGTATTCGTGTGTATTTATTAGAGAGGTTGCGGCCGAAGTTTTCATCTGTAAAACGTGAACGTCGAACGTCAAGCGCCGCTATCTTATAAGCGGCGCTTGACGTTCGACGTTACGTTTTAAACATGAAAACTTGGGCCGCAACCTCTCTTATATATATATATATATATATATATATATATATATATTTACAGTAAATATTTTATCAAATGTCTTCACTTCTAAACATTTCTAATGAAAAAGTAATTAAGTATTTTTTCGGTAAATCCATTTCTTTCTGAATGTAATTTCCTGGTATATATGCTAAGGTAGACTATCAGTGTGTTGAAGAGCAGAATTTGTTTTAAGTGGATTCACCTTTCTAGTGGCATGCTTTTATGCCATCGTTTTTGACGGATTTTCTGATAAATACTAGTTTATTTGACGAAACATCTCAAAAATAAAAGCAAAAGTCATCAGAAAAAGTTGTAAATAGCTGAAATATTTGTCAACAAAGAGAAATTTGCGATGACAGAAATATAGTATGAAATGACCCAATTCGCGAAAACTTGCCAAACTTAACAATAGATTGTTTGTAATTTTTTTATTTTCTATCTCTTTTCTTTCCTTTTCAAAATTAATCTCGAGAAAAAAATTATTATTTTGGGCATTCGGAGCCAATGATAATTTCGAAAATAGCTAATTCTTAGTTGAACGTAGTGATAAAATATATCATTATATTCTCTTTCAGTTTT